TTATATTCTTTAAAAAGTTTCAGAGTAAAGGAAGGGGTGACATTGTCCAAAAAGAAATGTACTCTCTATCTGACTTGTATAACTGTAACCCCTCTGTACAACTCCTTTATAATAACAATTTTTAAAAGTTGAAAAAAAAGGGCTGGGAAGGGGGTTCAGTGGTAGAGTGTTTGCCTTGCATACATGAAACCCTGGGTTCAATTCCTCAGCACCACATAAACAGAAAAAATCAGAAGTGGTACTGTGGCTCAAGTGGTAGAGCACTAGCCTTGAGCTAAAGGGTTAAAGAGCTGAGGGGCAGTGCCCAGGCCCAGAGTTCAAACCCCACGACTGACAAAAAAAAAAAAAAGTCTCATAGTTTCTGCCTGGGGTAACTTCAAACCTTGATTCTTAGATCTCAGCCTTCTGAGTAGCTAGGATTACAGGTTTGTGCTACCAACTCCTGGTCTTGCAATTTTCACCAAAAAGGATATCTAAGTGTATGGTACATGCCTGTTTTTGCAGCACTTAGAAGGCTGAAGCAGAAAGATCACAAGTTGAAGACCATTCTGGGCTACATAGTGGTAGAGCGCTAGCCTTGAGCTGAAGAGCTGAGGGACAGCGCCCAGGCCCAGAGTTCAGGCCCCACAACTGGACCCAAAATAAATAAATAAATAAAAGCTGGGTACTAGTGGCTCATGCCTATAATCCTAGCTACTCAGGAGGATGGTACCTGAGGATCATGACTCAAAGCCAGCCTGGGTGGGAAAGTCTGAGACTCTTATAAACTACTCAGAAAAAGCTGGAAGTAGTACTGAGGCTCAAGTGGTAGAGTGCTTGCCTTGAGCACAGAAAGGCTCAGGAACAGAACCCAGGCCCTGAGTTTAAGCCCCAGGATGGGCAAAAAATAAATACAAACTAAGGGGTTCTATTATAAAAGAAAGGGAGGTCTGTTTTGCATATAAGATTAATATGGTATAAATAGAATTATAAAACCAGAGGATTAAGGATATTATCACATCAGAAGAAATAAACAGTGGGAGGGGGGGAAAGCTGGGCATTAAAAAAAAAAAATCAAGTTAGATCCCAATTTGCTGGAACTATAGATGTGGCCAGGTTGGCCCTGAGCAGACTCATCCTAGGTCACCCCAGTTCATAAGCTCCTTCCTCTAGTGAATGGATTTCAATGAGAAAGGGCTAGATAATGGATAGGGGAATATGTAGACTAGCAGGCTCCAACTTAGGGCTGATTTGAGCTTGAGAATGATGCTGGGGAAAATATACTAGGAAGCACTTCAAAGAAAACAACTAAATACGGCTGGGAAGGTGGTTCAGTGGTAGAGCGCTTGCTTTGCATGCCTGAGGCCCTGGGTTCGATTCCTCAGCACCACATAAGCTGAGGGACAGCGCCCAGGCCCAGAGTTCAGGCCCCACGACTGGACCCCCCCCAAAAAAAGAAAACAACTAAATATAACAAGTGACACATTGATTGGAACCTGGTTTGGGGAAGCAGGGAAAGCCATTATAAAAAAATAATAATAAAACAGCAGAAAGCAATTGTGGAAATTTGAGTGTGGACTGGAAATTAGATGACATTAGGAAATTATTGCCAATTTCCTTATGTGTGAAAATGATCTTTTTTTTTTTGAAAAACATTTTCCCAGTTAGGAGGCCCATGCTGACATTCTCAAGTGAAGTCTGCATGTTCATATGAGCTAGCCAATTACATAAGTGGAGATCTATTCAGTGAGTGTGAACAGATGTACCTTCTCAATACTACTTTCAGCATCTAGTTGAAATCTACTAATAACATTGGGGAAAGGGAGGAACAGGAGGGACTAAGTTGGTAAATACTTGCCTGGGTATCCAAGTGAGGTACATCAGCAGGTGTTACTGCTCCATGGGGCTTAATCTCTCTTCTAGACACCAGCAGTCCATGGTAGGAAAGCCCAGAGAACGATGTGATAGCTTGCTGACTGGATTGCTCTCCCGTCCCTAGCCATTACCAACTCAGGCTGAGCCCACCTGCTAGGGCTAGGCAGGGAGAAAGTGAGGGCCAATAGAATCCTCACAGTAACTCTCATGAAGACATCAGGGCTCAGAGAAGTATGTGTTTTCAACCATGGTCATACAGCTGGCCTGGGGTTCGAATCCAAAGGGTCTTAATGTTAGGGTCAAAAGTGTCCAATAACACAACCTGTTCCAGAACATTCATGGTCATATCAGGGGAAACTCTGACAGGTGCTCAGAGCCTATGGAGGCCAGCATCTTTGAAGAATAGTAGCATCTTTTGAAGCCAGTGTCTCTGAGGTCATCGCTGGGGATTAGTTTTGATATGCAACAGACTCTGCAGTGTGCACTCAGATGGGCAATTCCTGGTGTCCCCCGTCTGTATTTGAGCCTTACCCAGATGGCCTTCTGTGACTTTTTTGGGGGGGAGGGGGAAGCGGTCGTGGGGCTTGAACTCTGAGCCTGGCACTGACCCTGAGCTTTTCAGCTCAAGTGCTCTACCACTTGAGCCACAGCCCCACTTCTGGTTTTCTGGTAGTTAATTGGAGGTAAGAATCTCACAAACTTTCCTGCCCAGGCTGGCTTTGAACCTCAGATCTCAGCCTCCTGAGTAGCTAGGATTACAGGTGTGAGCCACTGGCACCTGGCTTCACTTTAGCTTCTTGAAGCTGAGATTTCCCCCTTTATAATGGGACACAATCCCATGTGCCTCACTGAAGGGAGGGTATTTGCAGTGTGGATACACACTGTTGCTCCTGTGCTGCCAATTTATTATGGGCACTCAAATTGCCCACTGCTCCAGGTCCTAATCTCTTCCCAGGCATACCCCCAGCTGTCCCCTTGTTTCTGGGTCACTCTCGCCTGTTGTCCTACCCTTAACAGGAGGGAGACTGATTTCCCTGTGTTGGAAGCCGGAAGCACCCCAACAAATGATACACACAGGGCAGCTGGGGTGGAGCAACAGCACCACCTAGTGGCAAGCAAGCTACACACTTGCAAAGCAGTTGGTCTAATGACATCTTTGTGTAAGTCACCTAGTCCAGCTGTCCACCAATGCTTGAGTGTGGCCAGAGCATCTTCCTAAAGTGGAATTTTCATGCCAGACATTTGAGTAAAATCACAAAACAAGAGTGCTGCTTTTCAGGGACCACAGGATGGTAAAAGAAAAAAGAAAAACAGCCAAAAAACAAAAAACTCCAAAGTTTAAAAAGCATTCCTGTCAAATCTAAAGACAGAAAATAAATCAGTTGTTGGGAGTTGTCTCAGGCCAAATGATGTACAGGAAATGATAAAGAATGACTGCTAAATGGTAGTATCTTTTCTTCAGTATCTTTAGTATCTTTTCATCAAATTGCGTATCTTCATGGGTCAGCTATATGATAAAGGAATCACATCTCAAGTAAGCCAGTAACAAAAGGGGTTTATAAAAATTTTGTGTGAAAAGAAAAAATACTTCTTCACAGCATATGGGCAGATTTCCTATGTACTGGTGGACTTCCTCCCTGTGAAGGACACCAGGCAAATGAAAGGTCTCACAGGGGAACCTACTTTCAACTCCGACTATGTGCTTTCTCCTGAGCAATACATAGCAGTTTCCTCCACCCCGTTGGGGCATCTGGTGTAATAAACCAAAGTGCATGCTCTGCAAAATATAAAACTGACTCAGAGCTCCACCCACACCCCACCTTAACCCTTTCTGGCCATTCTCAAAGACCTGGGACTCAGGTCTTTGGAGACTTGTTGGAGACTTGTTTCTAGCCTGGGAAGTGGAGAATCATAGGCTAGGAAGCACGGCAGAAACTGGGCAAAGCTGCAGGCTGGATCCCACGTACCCCTTAACACCTGCTGCCACCATAGCTGGTAGTGGTATCCCTTCCCCTCTCCAGGGGGCAAAGCCCATAGCCACCTAACCATGAAAGTCTTTCCTGGGGCCCAGCTCACTAGTCTCAGGACTGATGTTGTGGTCTGGCCTATAGCACGTGAGCACTTTTTTTCTAAATCTGAGACTGGGACTTGAACTTGGCACCTAATGCTTTCACTCTCTAGCTATCACTCTATCAACTGAGCCCTACTTCCAACGCCTCGTGAGCACTCCTAAAGCACTTCTAAAGCATTGTGGCTCCTCTCCTGTGCAAAGCAGACCATTCTACATAAAGAGGAGGCAAATCAGTGGTCACCAGGAGTTTAGAGGGAGTATAAATGAAAAAAGTTGTAAGAGCTTTTTTTTGGTAGGAATGGAAATTGAAAAAAAAAAAAAAAAAAAGGAAGCCAGATGTAGGTGGCTCATGTACATAATCCCTAGCTCCTCAGGGGGCTAAGTCTAAGGACTGCAGTTCAAAGCCAGCCAGAGCAGCAAAGTGCATGAGACTTTTTATCTCCAATTAACCACAAAAACAAAACAAACAACAACAAAAAACACAGACAGTGCCTAGGCCCTGAGTTCAAGCTCCAGGACCAGCACGCGCATACACACAAAAGTAGCACCTCGCAATATGCAGTAAAGCTAGCTTTACTGCACTTCACATGATTAGAAAGGACAGAGCTCTTAGCAACACTGGGTGAACATAACTTTACTACAATGCTGACTGACACTGGGACTCTTTGAAGCCCCCAGGAAAAGAGCAATGCAACACATGCAAAGGCACTTGGTACTGAACCCTAGGCAACCCTATGGGGCAGAGGTTTTAGTATCTCTGATGACCAGTACACTGGTTAAGTAAGTACACTGAAGCTCAGGCAGAGAGCAGACAACAGAATGCTAAACAGGACTTTCAGGGACCCAAGTCTTGGCTCAAAGCCAATACCCTGAACTGTCCCTACTTACACTCACCCTTGATTCCCCTACTCCAAAGTCACAGTGAGAGATGGGAGTAAAATACCAGAGTACTGCTAGGTCCTAAGTGTGGGGAAGCATATCCACAGTATCACTGGTCTGAGCCCAGGGAGTATTCAAGAACAAGTCCAAATGGGAAGAGAGTGAAAGCAGTTCAAGACATTCAGACGCATATGACTGTCCTTTCCTCCTTCCAAAGCAGTTCTTTATTATGCGATCAATCAGCAAGTGTTAATGAGGCCCAGCATCATGCCAGGTGCACTGTACTAAGCATCAATACACGAGTGTAAGAGACAGACACTGGCAGCTGGAGGCACACAGGCTAAACAGTTCTCAGGAAGTGCTCTGTGGGTAAAACTCAAACCTCCTCTTAGCTGCCAGTATTGAAATAAACATTCTTTCAGGTTAACATCTTAAAAGAAAAATATCACACCCCTCATTTGTCATGGCCTGAGACTGTTTCCTAGTATAATTCACTGGAATCACTAAACAAGGTTTCCTTTTATTGGATTCACCTTATGTTCCCCTCTAATAGAACTGGAATCCAGATTTTTTTTTTTTTTACAAAAGGAATTTTAAAAGGTTAAACACAGAGGTGCTTAGCAAAGTGGCTAACACTTGTCTGGACCGAGACACTCGATCAGCTCCACGACATGCTATTAGTAGTACTTGAAGGACAACACTGAACACATTTGCCAACAGTTCCTAGGATGTTACTGCCTCTGGGGAAGGAGTCAATACCAGAGGGAGTGGCCTAGACAAGAGATGATTTTCATAGCAACATTTAGCACCAACAATACCAGGCAATGCCAGGGGGTTACTTCACCCCTCCCCCACCCCAAATTAACTAGTCGAGTCTCTCGAACTCTTAGTTACATGGTTCTGGGAACAGAAACTTGCCTTAAGACAGCTGTACACTGCCTATGACTCCGCCCAGGAGCCAGGAACTACGGAGAGCCTCCAGCTTCCTGCTTTAACATTCAGCACAGAGAAGGGAAGTGGAGGCAGCAGTCTCAGCGGGGCCTGAGACCTGAGATGGTGATATCAGAACACAAAAGCAACCTCACCTTGCTTCCTCTACCCAACCCCACTTCCACTGTGGACCTGGGTGGGGCCCCAGAATCTCCACATGGCAAGTAAGGGAAGGGCTAGAAACGTCTAGTGTTACAGTCTTGATACTCTAATGAAAAAAGATCACTGATTTCTTTGACCAAAAAAAAAAAAAAAAAAAAGAGCATGTTAAACCCGGAAGCCTGGGCTGAAGCAGAACTTAAGAGAAAGGTTCCAGAATGAGCCTCTGCCACCTGGAGTGTAAAGTACCTTTTCTCCTGGAGCCTGCTTTAAAGCGCTGAAAGGTGTGAGCAGCTAGCTTTGGCATAACAGGAAAGAACTGATGATTCATTCCTCCGTTTTTACAAAAAGACACCAAAGTCTAATGGGATTCCAGGTATGCAGACATGCTAGACTCAGTATCTCATGCTCCTGCTCTCTTCCTTTCTATCCTGAAGGTCCTCTGGTTATCATGTACCAAGGAGTCCTCTGCAGAAATGACCACTGAAGCTACTGAAATGGAGGGTAGTGTTTAAAATGTAACACTGGTTGGCTGAAAATACTGGATTTTCTTATAAAGTGTGTATAAGGCACGGTGTGAGAAAGCTGCCCCCACGCCCAGCCCCACGGCTCCTCCCACGCACACATGCACACAGAAGAGGCCAGCTGGTTTTGCCACAATGCACAGAGAATGGATTGCTTCCCATCACTTCTGGTTTTTGAGCTGGTTGGAGAGCCAGTCTAGGCCTTCGTAAAGCCCATCTCCACTGGTGGCACAGGTGGCCTGAATGTACCAGTTTCTCTGGCGAAGGGAATGTAAGCCGAGCTTGTCCGTTATCTCTGCTGCATTCATTGCATTGGGAAGATCCTTGAAAGAGAATGCACACAATCAGTTTACCATGCTGTGTCCACACAATGGAATAGGCTCTTCCTCCTAAATGTGCCCTACCCCACAGCCTTCTCTTTACAGACCCCAAACCTTGAAACCATCATTTACTTTCTCTCAAGTCTGAAAATTCCAAAATACCTGCAAAAATCTGACCACTTCCTACCGCTTCTACTCCTACCACCATCAATCCAGCCTTACTAAGCTTTCTTACCTAGCTTATCAAAAATGCTTCCTGATTGGTCTCCCTGCTTCTGCTCTGGCTCCTAAAAGCTTGTTCTTAACCCAAGAGTCAGAGAAAATCAGATTAAATCATTCTTCTACCAAAACTGGGCCACAGCTCCTTTTACCAGGAAAAGCCTAGGCCCTTTTGATGGCTTGCAAAATCACTCAGGTCCCAAGACCCTGTTGCCTCTCCTCCTGCCTGCTCTGCCTTTTTAATATAGGACCCACCACATGTGAACACATTTAAAAAGTTGTCTGATGTAATCCAAGTGCCTGGCACCCAGTAAGCTCAAACTAAATCTAAATACGTGAGCAATGAAGAACAAGGATGATCTAGAGGTACTGCTATGGAAGGATGTCAAAGGCAAGCTAAGTCATAAAACAGGTTGCAAGACCAAATGTATAACAGGCTAGGATGTAGTTCAGTGACAAAGCACTTGCCAGCAAATGCAATGTCCTGGGTTCAGATTCCCAGTACCAAAATAAGAAAACTAAAACAACAAAACTGAATGCATAATTTGATCTCTGGAATTTAAGTGTAACACAACCATAATTTTCTATGAATATAGAAAACTCAATCTCTTTCCATAAGAAATTTCAGTGTTTTATTCTAAACAGAACTGGAACATTTCGCCTGATATTCTGAACTGCATCTCAGATTTACACCTTGAACCTGTTCTGTTTTTAGAATTAAAAACAAACTCATTCTTTCCTTTTTTTTTTTGCCAGTCCTGGAGCTCAGGGCTTGGGCACTTCCCTTGAGCTTTTTTTGCTCAAGGCGAGCACTCTACCACTTGATCCACCGCATCACTTCTGGCTTTTTCTGTTTATCCACATAAACAGAGGAATCAAACCCAAGGCTTTCTGCATGCTAGGAAAGCACTCTACCACTAAGCCACATTCACAGCCCTCAGTCTTTTCTTTTTAAAAGTCCATTATGTTCACTGGTGAAACTGCCTGACATCCATCATGAGTAGCAGGGTAACAGCTGAGTGCACCCTGGAAAATCATGATTACCACGAATGGGATGACAAAAGAACACATGTTTAATAAAGCTGAAGTGACAAAACAGGCCACAACCATGTCATAACAATATGATATCAATTATGTAACAAATGCATTCTTGAAGAAGGAAACACAACACTGCGGCAGCCGTCACCCCTGGCTATCACGCTTCTGCCTTCTCTGTCGAGCTCAGTTCAGATGAGAACCTGAGGCTGGGCAGCTGTCACTGCTTTACAACGGGCCCATCTGAACCCTCCCATTGAGACTGTCCCTAGAACTCAGATGTCATCTGAGCCACTCTGCTCTGCAATTCTCCTCACTCACCACCCGGCCTAGAACACCTCATTCCACCACATGTAAGCGACTCCAACACAAGACCTTCTGTCAATATCCCTTTTCTGTGCACCTGACACCTGAATCAAAGCCTAGAACCTAGTGTCTACTCAGTATTTACTGACTGAATGAATGACATCATAAAAAAGGACATAGGACTGATTTAAGGGAGACAGATGTGTCTCAGTATTCAGACATACCTGTTTATTTACGAACACCAATAAGACTGCATCTCGGAGCTCATCTTCTGCCAACATCCTGGTTAGTTCTTCCCGGGCCTCATTGACCCGTTCTCTGTCATTACTGTCAACCACAAAAATCAGACCTGCAAAGAAACCCCCAGCATATGAGTGACATCCACAGGGCAGCACAGCTGTTTATCTGGTCATACTGCTCCTCCCTCTCTGCCCTGCACACGTGTGCTTTCAAAAACGCAATCAATTGTTGAGGATACATCACACCCTGACTTAGGAACCTTGCTGCGTGCCACTCCATTCCTTTCTAGGCACAGCCCTTCACCAGGCTGACAACAATATATAGTAAGACATAGGGCTCCGGTCTTGGTCACCTAATTTCCACAGCAGGGAAAAAAAAGAATTTCATTTCAGAGCAGGTCCCCTAAAACAAAGCTTGACACAAACGAAGGCCTGGGGGCAGGTATTTTATCTGGGAAGGAAACCCTAGGAGGAAGGAAGGAGAAAAGGGAAGGAGTAAAATGAAGAAAGAGAGATAGCCAAGATAAAAGTGAACATGTTTGCTGTTGCTGGATATTCTAAGAAGCCATATGAAAAGCCTCTCAGTACAGTCCACTGGGTTCAAGAGGGGCAATGTTTAAGATTCCATTCTTAACAGTGCCATTGGCTCACGCCTGTAGTCCTAGCTACAAGGAAGCTGAGATCTGAAGATCATGGTTCAAAGCCAGCCCGGGCAGGAAAGTCCGTGAGACTCTTATCTCCAATAAAACACCAGAAAACCGGAAGTGGCACTGTGGCAAGTGGTAGAGTGCTTGTCTTGAGCTGAAGAGCTGAGAGACAGCACCCAGGCCCGAGGTCAAGCCCCATGACTGACAAAAAAAAAAAAAAAAAGATTCTGTTCTTATTTCCACGGGCTCAGAGGAATGTCTATATTGTCACATGCATCTCTATAGTAAAGAATCTGGGGCCCCTTGTGGTGGTACACACCTGTAATCTCAGCTAGTTGGGAAACAAGAGTGTTTGAGGCCATCCTGGGCAAAGTTAACAAGATCCTAGTCCAAAAACAAAATGTAGGGCCAGGAGCCTGGTCCAGAGAAAGTAGAGCTCTTCCCTGGCCTGCATGAGGGGTGGGGGAGGGAGGAGAGATCAGAGAAAGAAAAAAGTAGAAAAAGGGAAAGGAAAAACAATCCTTTGTCCCCAGCATTTTCAGAGTGAGAGGAGAATCTGTGATCATGGTGGGCTCCTATCTGGTGGCTTATGCTAACAGGGATATATGGTAGGTCCCTAGCTAGTTAGTGCTAACAAAATTGAATTGGAGAGGGGCAGGGGAGCAGGGTTTGACTCACATGGACAATGAACCCATCATGTGTCTGTAAACAAGCCCCAAGAAAAACCATGCACACTGAAGTTCAGGCATACTCTCCAGCAGTACTGCAACAAATCATCCTGATTTGTCAGGGAGTGGGCAATAGAAGCTTGGTGTTTAGTATCTGCCTAGGTCTATGTTGTGCCACTTTTTTTTTCTTTTCTTTTCTTTTAACTCAGGGCACTATCCCTGACCTTCTTTGGCTTAAGACTAGCGCTCTACACTGAAGCCACAGCGCCACTTCCAGTCCTTTTTGAGTAGTTTATTGGACTTTCCTGCCTGGGCTAGTTTCATACCATGATCCTCAGATCTCAGCCTTCTGGCTGAGCCTGGCAAATACCTCTCCTTTTGACTGGCTCTTTTTGCACTAATAAAACTCTTTAAGTATAAGCATTTTCCTGAGCTCAATGTCATTCTAACAAAACCATCCCGAACAACAGAGGTATAGAAAAGCACCACATCTAGGGCTGGGAAGGTGGCTCAGTGGTAGAGTGCTTGCCTTGCATGCTCGAGGCCCTGGGTTCGATTCCCCAGCACCACATATGCAAAAAGAAAAAAGC